TTATCTCATCGGCGGCCTTGTTTTTCAACACCGTTTTTCGACATACTGGGATTTATAGATGAGGAACCGCCGGAGACCGGCCTTGCAGAAGAAGGACTGTTACAACTACAACCGCGGGGGCGAAAGAGGGCCTTCGGGCTGTAAAAGGGAATTCGTAGCTGCGCATGGCGCGCGAACCACACTGAAGTTCTCACGAGGCGGCGGGCTATCAGGAGCAGGGTGCCGGAGGAGAAGGCCAGCCGCCAGCCAGCAGGGACTGAACCGAATCCGCAACAAGAGGCCATACGGGCCTAGCTTCAGATCAGATTCGGTGTATAGATACCACGTATCCGGGATCAGGAGCACATTGGCGTACCATTACTTGACAGCAACAATTGATGAATTCATTTACAGACATGTCCTGGCATGTTTCTGATGCGCTCTTCGCACGATCATCACGACTGAGCCCCTCTCTCTTGGTGTACAAACTTTTGATGGTTTTCGAAATCGCTAAACGCCGTGGCTGAGCAGTGGAAAGAACGAGCGAAACCGAGCATCGGGCTCGGAGATTGAGGCTTAAGCACCGAGGCCGCGGCGCGGGCCGCCGCCGACGTCAAACTTCATATGCATGCCCGCGTTGAACTGTTTCTCCAGATCCTGGTTCACCTGAGATATGTCAGAGTTGGCTCGGTTGCCGTGGGCCTGCGCCGCAGCGGCACCCTTCTTGCCTCCTCCGAGCAGTTTCAGGAACTTCTGCTGTCGCTGGGCGCCGCCATCCAAGCCGCCAACGTTCCACTGCTCGCCCCCGACAGCACTGGCCTGGGGAGCCGGCTCCTCGGCTGTCTTTCTTGGCCTTCTTTTTCTTGTCTTTCTTGCTGGCGCTGACGTCCTCCTTGGCGGCCTCTTCGTCCTCGTCGGCCTCGGCTTGCGTTTTGCTTCTTCTCCTTTTTGGAAACGATCTCCTTATCGGACTCTGGGTCGGCCTCCAAGGGGGCCTTGGATTTCTTGGCCTTCTTCTCCTTCTTAGACTTGACAGGCTCTTTCTCTGTCTCATCGGTGACTTCGGCGTCGTTCTTCCTCCTCGCCTTCTTCTTTTTCTCCTTAACGTTCTCTTCGACTGCAGCATCTGCCTCGTCGTCCGTGTCCGCGGGTTTAGCCTTCTTTTCTTTCTTTTTCTCCTTCTTGGCCTTTTTCTTCGTCGCATGTTCAGTGTCGGCATCGGCCTCGAGCTCGGCCTTCGTGGGTTCCTTTGAGGGACCGCTCAAGCCTTCGCTCTCGGCGCGGAGCTGCGAGTTGGCGGACGCCATGACGGCATCGACGGGGGCCCCGCCGTCCTCGTCGCCGGACGAGTCGCTGTCGGAATCTGAGTCGGAATCGGATGAAGACGAAGAAGAAGAAGAAGAAGAAGAGTCAGATGTCGTATCGTCAGTGTGATCGGTGACGCCCTTGGCGGATTGTTTCTATCTCAATGTGTCAGCGTCGACATGTTCACCATGCAAAGCCAATGACCGTGACGCACCCCCTTCTTCTCAGTGACAGCGTCGTAGCGGGCGCGCATGGCCTGCGCTGTTTGGATCATCCTCCCGGCCTGGGCCTCGAGAGCGTCGGCCTGTTCAGCACGCGCTTGCGGGCTTTCTCGTCCTTCTTTGACTCCGTGGCGGCGGCATCCTCAGTCTTGCCCGAGGCCTTCTTCGACTTGGCAGCGGAGCGCGCTTCCTCCTTGCGCTTGAGCTTCTTCTCTGTGAAGAAGAGAAAGTCAGTCTGAAGGGGGTTCAATTGTAAGGTTTGGGGGCTGCATCGAGTTTGCGGCTTGTCGCGGACGCATATGTCGCATGATGGATCGGGCTCTTACCCTTGAGCTTCGCCCCGGCCTTGGCCTGCGTGGGGTCAATGCTTACGTCGACCATTTTGCTCATGTGAGATTGTTGAAGGACCAAAGTATGGATCTTTCAAGGTCCCTAGCTAGGCCACCAGCAGAAGCTTTAGTGAAAGGTGGAGGGGACTGGGGGAAAAAAAGATTGGGAATCTGCCGGGCGGTGAGACATCAGTGCAGGAATTGGTGCTGATCGCCCACGGCGGGTAGGTGACGCAGGGCGGGGGCCCGGCGGAGTGTCGTGGTCCTGGCTGTCAAGCCAGCAAACGCAGGCAGGACGTCAGAGGGGGGGTCGTAGTGGGATCGTCAGAGGTGGGACTAGGTACCTAACCCCAACAACGCCCCCCCCCCCCGCCTGTCAGTGATCCTGCGATCAGGGGTGACCGGAACATCTACAGAGGCCTGCACAGGTGCTCTCTGACAACGAGGCTCACTACGAGTCTCGCCCACCCGGAGACCATCCCTCGGAACCGAGAGCATAATCCCCTGGGTCATTGAAATCAGAGCATCTGGTCTTACCGAGAAGCTTCAAGTGGGGGTGATTCGGGCTCTCGATGTTCATTCTTGCAGATTCCCAGGCTCCCAAGGCTGTCTGTCACCTTTCCAGCTCAGCAACTTCGGTGTGCCCTTGCATCACGGGAACTCACGTCCCCCCGGCGCCTCGTCAAGGCCTACTCTATCGAGAGCGTCCTCCGACACCCGGACAGGCATCACGATCGCCCGCCATGGTTCTTGCATGGCGCCCATGCCCCCCGACGTCTGCCTGTCGACCCAGGACCCAGCCAGTGAACCCTCGAAATCGCCTTGCCCTTGGTAGCACCGTGCAGTAGCGCGGGCCCATTTTCCAACCCCCCATCTTCTCCCAGCACACCACCACTACCACCACCGCCCCCAAATTCGCATCCGTCGGGTTCAAAACCCTGGCTGCTGGGCTGAACAGGTGGGTGGGTTTGTCCGGCTAGCTGGCTGGCTTCGCCCTGGGCACCATGGGGGATTCCAATACCGATCCTTCTCACGATACCTACCTGCCTCACGGTACTTACCTGGGTATGTAGGAACCTCTGCGTGCGCCAGCCCCGGCAGACACACAACCAGCTCGTTGCTGTTCGCAAGGTTGGAAGCAGGCGATACTACCCCCACTTACTCAGTAACTGTGGCCACGACCACATGGGAATCGTCCCGAAAGCCAGCTGAGACTACCCACGCCTTCCATTGGCTGGTGAGCCTGGCGCCTCTGCTGTTGCTGTTCGCAGAAGTCCTTCTTGTCATGGAGACGATTGACGTTTTGGGAGGATGGGAAAATCATCGGGGAATCTGTCGTGTCTGCCTGACAGATTCCAGACCGAGCCAACTCTCCTGTGGCTGCTGATACTTGACGTCGGCGGCACATCCCGACCAGGGGGGGGCTTCACATAGTCTCAACGGCGAGAGGATGAAAAGAATACCTTTTGTAGTAAGGCCAAGTAAAGCAGCCTATTAGGAACAGTCATGGAACGCGCCTGCCAATGAGGACGTCTGTTGCACGAGGACCCCAAGAAAAGACATCGTCGAATGAGTTGCGCTCGCTCTTACGCTAATCAGATGCTTCGAATCGTACACCAGACAGGACCAGACAGGGCGCCAAGTGCCCCGTCCCGACTCTCCAGAGAGGGGAGAGGCATGTGTCACGTCCCCACGACCCTGGTGCCACTGCCGCTTCAGCTTCTGCCCTTGACCACCAACCAGAACTTCGTCATGTAATCCCGCTTATGGGTGTTCTAATTTTGAAAGAAAGTTTGAGACCAGAAAGAGGAGATTGTACAGTAGTCCATCCACACATCCACACATCCACACATGATCGCCAAAAATGATATCCGCAATATTTGGGAAGAAAAGGAACGAGAAGAGAAAAGAATACAGGCCGTCCGGTGTCAGCTCCCGCCTGGCCCCCCAGACAAGCCCAGCTGCCCCATCCGTTAGATATGTCCTAAAATAGGCTCTGCCCGTACGCTCCATACCCGCGAGAGGATATACTGCTGCTGCCGGGAGAAGACGAGCCATAGGCGTAGGGCTGCACCGAGACACTGTTGTCCTGATAGCCCTGACCGCCATAATACGAGGGGTTCAGTCCACCTGTCGTGGAAGAAGCTATTGTTAGATACTGGTTTGCTTCCAAGTGGTCGCCAACCTCACGCTAGGCGTCTGGAACTGGTGGAGGGGAGGGGAGAGTAACGTTACGATGGGCGTACTAACTGTCTGCCGCTCTGCGACTGGCCCTGCTCCCCCGCCTGATGCTCGTACTCGTAGTCGTAGTAGTACGGTGACTCCTCGGTGTAGATCATCTCCTCGCCGGCGCTGCTGCCACCGGCGTGGCTCGCCGCCTGGTGACGGTGGTGCTGATAGCCTTCCCCTGACGAGTAGCCCGTTGCGTTGCTGTAGGAGTGTGCCGTTCGAGGGTCATCTGCTGCAAACGACTGTCCTCGATGGCTGCCGCGACGGCTCTCGTGTTCGCGACCTCTGGAAAAGATGTGGCGAAAGCTGGGACCGCCCCATACCGGGCCTTCATCGTCATTGACTTGATCAGGATCGGCAATGTCGTATGTGAGGTGAGAGTTGATCTCGTTCTCGTACTCGCGCTCCGCAATCTCCTTCTTTTCTCTGGCGTTCTCTCCTGTTTTCCCCATCGTGTTAGTCCACATGTACTGCGAGGACGTTGGAAAGGGGGCTGGCAGGGCTCCTCACGAAATTTCCGCTGGGCGATGCGGTTCTGAATTCGTCTTCGCTCTTCTGGGTCGGTGACGTCTGTCCAGTCGTCCGTCTTGAGAGACTTGGACTTGGTCCTGGATTTTGTTTGTGTATGCTTCTTTGAGCTGGAACTCGACTCCGAGTGCCTGTGGGCTCTAGAAGACATGACCGCAACCTCCTTAGGGGTTTGTACAGTTATCGTAGATATAGTTCAGTCAATCAGGTGCTGGCACTCTGTCAAGAATGTCGCCCGGGAGCAGTGTGGTTGATGATATAAAGGAGTTGGAGAGTGTTCGTCCGAAGTGCTTGCTTGAGAGTCCAACAAGATCGTGCTTTCAGACCTGACGTCCGGCTTTTATAAAGCACACTCTAGATGTTGTAAGCAAAGGTTGATAGACCGGGACTGGGGGCGGAAACATATGCTGCAGAGACTGGTTTTGTCGGCAAGTGGTTCTAGAATGCCTCGACTACACGTAGGGCAGACTTTTGGAAGATGTTGAAGCGTGCAATATTGCGCAGATTTTACACACGAGGGTGTAGATGTGACAGCTGTATGCATGGTGGCATCCCTCTCTGGCCAGGGGATATCATACACACCATGCTTGGTCGGGCGATCTCTGTGTGGGTCAAATGCCAGGAGAGGACATGGCTCGAGGCCATCAGTGAACGGTAAGAAAACGTGGATGAAGGAACGCCGGCGAGCCCAATCCAGATATTCAAGGCTGAAGGGGAGGGGGGTGGGCAGAGAAGGCGCCTCGGCAGGTGGAATAGACGGGCTGCTCCCGCGAGGTTACTAGGGTACAACGGCGGCGGGCAGAAGGCCGGACCAGAAGACAGGAGAACTCTCTTTGCTAGCGAGCTAGTTGAGTCTGCCGCTTTTTCGAAGCTTGGCAAGAGTCTGCTAAACCAGCATGTCTGTGTTGAATCCGGGTTGTGGGAAGCGGGGTGTTGCTCGCGCGCGCCACAAGGGTGATAGTCCGGGACCCCCTGGGGTTGACCCCTGATACTCAAGTCGGCGAGGTCATGGTGGCTTTCTTGGGCAGAGTGAAATACGCTGCTCACCAAGGTCTGTCGTCAATGGAAATCCGCTCGAGTATACGAGATACGACTGTCCATTTGAGGCAAACGAGCAAGGCTGTTTGCAGGTGTCAGACTGCGCTGCTGCTCTTCGTGACGAATCATATTTCAGCCCATGTGGCCGTGATGGTGTCTTGGGACGACCCATGAGCTGTTCCCACTACATCACACCAAAGCAGTATGTATAGAAGACAGCAGGGGGGTTGTTCAGCCTTGACCCAGAGAACTGGGGGTGGGTATGATGCAGATGTGTCCACTGTAATCAGTCGTGATTGCATCAATAGGGACACCGAAAACCACCAGACACTGCCCAGATACTGCCCAGATTACCAATGCAAGCGAGCAGTAGCTGAAGAGCGACACGTCCAAACTTTGGCGTACCAGGAGCTTGACGGCCGTCGCTAAGATTCCGACTGGAGTAGGCAGAGCAGTACGTCAGGATACTACGTTTACTCGATCGTGTCACGGAGCTGATTAGTCGTTGGCTTACGCTCGCTCGACTCTTTTCACCGCCGTGACTTCTGGTTGTGTACCCTTGAACCGAGTAGGCGTGGATCCGTTACTGCAAACCAATCAGGCAACTGCGCAATCAGGGCCCGTTGTGCAGTGAATTAGAGCTTCGACCTGCAGGACTCATCAGCCCTAAGCGCGAATATCGAGACTGCCGATCCTCATTCGGGGCACTTGCAGTGGCATTGCCCAAGCTCCCTTCTGGTAAAGTTAGGACGAAGAAATGAGCAGTCAGTTCGTGGAGTAACGTGGGTGACACAGTACATGTGCCTTTCAGCCTCTCCCGAAGTCATGGGCTTACACTCGGACCAGGCTCTGCAGCCATGCTAAGTGCTGTGGCTAACTTCAGGCTCCATCATCATGTCAAACAATTCCGGAATATCAGTGTTCGAGGAACTGCCAAGTATCGACGCGACCAATATGGCCTGTCGAGGACGGTATTGCATGGTGTGTAGACGACTGCCCGTGACGTTTGGACAGTGTGATTTTTCAGTCATTCAGAGGCCAGTCTGCCAATTCCCGGGGGGTAGGAGAGCCTTGCCGATATGCAGAGCGAGCAATGGCAGGTAATTTGACCATCAATAATAAACGCTGCTTGGAGCCAAACGGGGCAAAGGCGCGCGCTGGTGTTGGGGGCCATTTCTGTGTGGGTCGGATGGTTCGAAGGCTGCCATGGAGGGCTGCCATGCCCATCAAGCTGCTTTGCTTGCACCTGCAGACACACTGCGCCATCACTCGGCCGAGTTCGCTACTATGAACGCGCCGTAAGCGAGGCACCTCACTTCGACACCACCTTGACTTGGTTGACTGATGACACACGCGCTCATGGATCTGGCGAGGAGGGGTTCGTGGTCTGGGGCGCCATGGTTGGCAGAGTTCCGGCACGACACTCTCTGGAAGGCAGGAGCAGGGTATGCATGGGTTTGGTCCCACTTGTCCATCCATCGTGGACAAGCTACTGCCTTGCAGCAAGACGACGAAGCGGTGTGTTGAACAGCGGAGATGTTTCGAAGCATGATCGGTAACATACCTTGAGACTAGCTCGTCTCCAGGTTAGCCCAGGCTGACTTAATGACAGGTAATGGAAGCATGCGGCAGTGCCGGGATCAGCGCGCGCTCCAGCCCTGGCTGCGGTCGATCTCTGTGAGTCGGCCTCATGGGACACTGCCGGGTGGCAGGCAGCCTTGTTCCTCGATGTCGTCCACCATCGCATGTATTTTCTGCACAAGCATCGGAAAACCGGGCTATGTCGTTGACCTTGATGTTCGGTTGAGTGTCACTGTTGCCTACCGACCGATCTCAGATGGTTGTGTGAAGTGATCTGATGAAGTTGCCTTAAGGTATGCGAAACCTGGAAAGTCTGCCTTGGCAAGTGTGGGTTGCCAGGATGCTCTGCTCGCCTCGGGGGGTACCTTACCTGAAGCTTATTGCAGCTGGCTTGCGATTGGACAGTTGACTTTGCCGGCTGATCATCGGATCCCACGTCACAGTACCTGAGAACCCGGTGCAAGTGCCTATAGTTCGCCAGCAAAGGTGGGGAAGAGGGAGTGTGACGCCTGTGCCAGGTTCCCATTCCATAGGCACCATCTTGGGGATGTCGGACGAACGGCCGCTCACCTTTCGGTCGGATAAGGTGTTCTTGCTGCCTAGGCACCTACCTACCTACCTAGGCAAGCTAGGCAAGCTAGGTAGTTGGGTAACCATTTTCCCACAGCTTCGGTGCAAGACAGCCCGTCATACCCCCTTTCCAACAGCCGCGACACCCACTATCCGCTACACTCGCCAGGCATCTACTTTTCGGTTCTCGGCGATGCCGCTCTGATCTCGTGTACCCTGGGTCCTGAGTGGTTGACATCCGAAGTCGTGCCCCAGAAGATCTTGGTGTGTCTCCCCTGCTCCTTGTCATCAAGTTCGCCAGCAGGAATATCCGTCGAATCAACTTCGTTGTTTCCGGCGAGACCGCCGAAAGGGCGTGACATATGCCTTCGATTAGGACTGGCAGCAACGTCACCAGACAGAGAGGGAGGGTTTTCCTTTCGAATCGGAGCCATTCAGTATCTGATCTGAGACAAGGCAAGGCTCTCGACGCCTGGACCCTCCCAGTGCAAAAGTCCAAGAACCCCAGGCTCATTCTTCTGGCTACTCCAACGCTCAGCCTGGTGCCGCCAGTGGATGGATGACAGACAGCCAACGCCTCCCAATGTAGCCAGGATAGACTGTGGTTCGTAACAGCATGGCTCCCGCTGCAGCCGCTGTCACAGCAGGCTGCAGGAGGCAGTCAGCCACCACGCGACCCTGCTTACCCCTGGCGTTGGCCCTCATCCTCCGGAGCTCTACCAAATGGACGGGCCTTAGTCAAGCTGACCGATACACACATCACACACGCTCGTGCGCCGCAGGGCCCTTCTTCGTGCCTTTTCGTCGTTGATTTAAGCTTTAAAGTGTTAGACA